GTCCTGAGCTCCAGCAGCTGCGCACGCTTCTTGTCGGTGTTCATGCGCAGGTGGTCTGGTACGACGTAATCCTCGGCTGTCTTTAGCTTGTAGTCGCCCATGTTGTCCCTCGCCGCGCGGATGGAGGCGAGATACGCCGGGTCCTCGTAGTTATCGTCCGGCCGGCTCGCGTACAGAGCGTCCCACTGTCACACACGATGTCACACGCAATGTCACATGTAATGTCACACATGGCGTCGCACGCAATTTCACACACGGTGTCGCACGATGTTATGCAACGTCAAACCATGTCACTTGACGTCACAAGATGTCACACAATGTCAAAACATATGGTATGACCTACAGAACGTCCCAGGCACAAGTCAGGGATTCACAATGTAGGTTTAAAAAACATCTCGTCGCTGCAGTAATGACTGGTTAGAGTCGGGGCTGGCTGTCACGTCAGGTGAACGCGTCGTACGCAGCGACCCACCTCGGCTCGCCTCTGTGCCTTCTTCCTCTTCTTCTCCTCTGCCTTGTTGAGAGCCTTGTAAGCGGTGTCGGCCATGCGCGAAGACTTCAGCATCAGTCCTGACGACGACTCCTTCACCGAAACCTCGGCCTTAGAGCCGTCACTAGGTGGCGCTGGCAAACCAATACGGCGACAACACATAACAATCGAGCACTATTCAGGAATTATAATGTAAGTGCAGGGTGAGAGGTAATATTGTAAATGGTAGCTGCGGTGTAGAAGTAGTAACGTGGGTATAAGAACCACAGCAAGTAATATGTAATAATATATACAACTTAATAAATAATAAGGTATATGTAGCAATAGCAGTATAGACGAGGTAACGTGGGTAGTAGTATACTATATATTGACAGCAGAGAGAGTAACAGTAGCAATAATATAACGCGGGGTGAGTGAGCGTACGTCTGAGCTGCGTGGCCGTGCCTTCACGGCTGACCATGCTTCCCTCCTTGCTGGTGAGGGGGCTGTTGCGTGCTCTCTGCCTCCGCTCCGCAAGGTCTGCCTTCACCAGGTGGAATTCCTCGGACAGCTTGGCGCAGCGGAAGGTCGAGACGGTGTGCGCGAAGAGAAACGCTGTCAGCTCTATCCTCTCACACTCCATCACGTCCTTAAACCTACACGACACACGCCGCAGAGAGGGTGGTGAGATGACGCAGGAAACAGAAGAGGACAGAAAGGAGGGGAATGCTCCCAGGAAGGTAAAAATATGGTGGTTTTGTGACATTTACTGATTGTGGTTTTAACAATTATTATAATTTTATTATTATTATTACCTTCTTCCCTGCATCATATGAGTAACACACAATTTATTTCGGCTACAGTATACGACTGACATTACAGAAGCGTTGGTTAGCGTATTGTTCAAACAGTGACACATAGCGTCACCTGTGTTTGAGTTTGTCCAGCGCTATCTGGTGGCGGATTGCTTCGTACTCCAACTCTCTCCTCACGTTCTCGATGCGACTGTCCGCTAGCGCCCTCTGTTGCTCCTTCAGCTCGGGATCGAGTTCAAACACCTGCGGATGTCGGCGGAGATCAGATGACATGTCAGTAAGCTCATGAGAGCACCCAGCAATCCCTCTCTCTCCTTGCTACCCTCTCTCCTCCCCCCACCCTTCAACCTGGCTGGCTACCTTCATCATCATCATGGATCAACGTACGCTACCTTCCTGTCCGTGCGTACGCTACCTTCCTGTCCGCTCGTACGCTACCTTCCTGTCCGCTCGTACGCTACCTTTCTGTCTGCTCGTACGCTACCTTCCTGTCTGCTCGTACGCTACCTTCCTGTCCACGCGTACGCTACCTTCCTGTCTGCTCGTACGCTACCTTCCTGTCTGCTCGTACGCTACCTTCCTGTCCACGCGTACGCTACCTTCCTGTCTGCTCATACGCTACCTTCCTGTCTGCTCGTACTCTACCTTCCTGTCCACGCGTACGCTACCTTCCTGTCTGCTCGTACGCTACCTTCCTGTCTGCTCGTACGCTACCTTCCTGTCCACGCGTACGCTACC